ACCAGGCCGGAGTAACCGAGCTGAAGGAACCAGGCCACAGGAACCGAGCCTGGGGAACCAGGCCGGAGAAACCGGGCCACAGGAACCGGGCCGAAGGAACCAAGTCTGGGGAACCGGGCCTGGGGAACCGGGCCAGAGGAACCAGGCCGGAGTAACCGAGCTGAAGGAACCAGGCCACAGGAACCGAGCCTGGGGAACCGGGCCTGGGGAACCAGGCCGGAGGAACCGGGCTGAAGGAACCGAGCCACAGGAACTGGGCCTGGGGAACCGGGCCAGAGGAACCAGGCCGGAGGAACTGGGCCAGAGGAACCGGGCTGGAGGAACCGAGCCTGGGGAACCGGACCTGGGGAACCGGGCCTGGGGAACCAGGCCAGAGGAACCGGGCCGGAGGAACCGGGCCGGAGGAACCGGGCCGGAGGAACCGGGCCGGAGGAACCGGGCCGGCCTCCAGGGCGTCGCTGGGCGGCTCTGGAAACCAGGACGCTTATCAGGGTTGGACATTCTTCTTCTTTTGTCTCCTCTCGGCTCGGCTTACGTTGGGTTTTCAGAATAAAAGCTTCTCTGGTTCCATGGATTATGAGATGATTAACAGGAATTACAAAAAGCTTCAAAGTAGGTTTTACACTTATGTTTGTTTAAATTAATGACAACATGGAGCTACAGACACTGAAAAGAAAAGATTTAAAACAGCGAAGCTCAGAAATACTTTTCAGTTCCATGATTTGTAATTTAAAATTGATTTCTGTTATTTCTTCAGCTACCCTGGAGTAAAGATTGTTCAAATAAATATTTGAAACTGAACCTTTGCTGAAACATTTAAAACTTTTTTCAGTTTAAAATTTATTTTTCAGTTACATTTTTTCATCTCAAAATTAGATTTTAGTTTTGAATCTTTTTCTGTCAGTTTCAAACAAAATGTTTTGTTTTTTCATAACTTTATGGCTCAGATTTGCTCCATAAATCTGACCCTGATCCAAACTGAACATCTGAATCGATGTTGGTGTTTATCTCAGTGTTTTTGCTTTAATCAGTATCATGTGTGCCGTTGGGCCCAGGAGACGTTTTGTCCTGTTGGGTGAAGTAGGAAAGTAGGCTGCTCATTGTGACGCTGCAGGGCTCAGGTTACCGTATTGTTGAGCCTCTTCATATCCGTTACGTTCTGATGTTTTCACAAAGTGTTGCTCTGATATCCACAAACAGTCATTATGAGTCAGAATCAGATGAATTTAAACAATCAGAAAGTTTGCCTGGTTTCTGTGTGAAGCTTTTCATAGATTTGACCAAAGAAATTTAAATAAATAGTTTTTTTTTTTCTGTCAGATAAATAATTAAAAATGCAACATAAATGGACCTGGTGATTTTTTAATTCAAGCTCATTTGTTCCTGCTGTGAAACCAGCTGAATGGATAAACCTGTAGAAGTTTATCCATTTAAAACATGGTGGGTAAACCTGCTGCTGTGTCTGTGTGACCTCTGAACTCTCTGGTCGCTCCAACGTCCCTCAGCCAGAATCCTGCAGATATTCTGGTTCTGTTTGTCCTGAGTTTGACTGGCAGACTGCAATCCTAAAATTCACTCATTTGAACCCAAACTCGACTCATTTAGTGACTCAGGTTCTGTCCAAACAATTCCTCATTCAAAGACTTTGTCACTTTTATTCTAATGTTTGGGTCGAATGTTTGGGTCGGTTCCAGTCGTCCTCCCTCTGAGGATGTGATGCTCTTGGAAATTAAACGATTTATTTGTTGCAGCGATGGGAAAAGCTGAAATAATAAAAAATCAGCTGAGCTTTATGAGCGGACACCTGAGGTACCGGGAAATGTTCTGGTTCTGGACTCTGGACCTGCAGAGACTGGTCCCAGCGAAATGGAGCGAGGTCAGAGGCTGGTTTTGTAAAAAGAGGGTGGAGGAGTGATGGAGAGATAACCAGAGTCTCTTCTTTCGCCTGTGAATGTTTGGCGTTTCATGAGGAAGGAGGCAGAGAGCCAAGTTCTTCCTCCTCAGCTGGACAATGAGGACACGCCTGCCCCGTCCTCAGCCTTTTGTCTCTGGACCCAACAGGTGAGACAGAACCTGAAAGCTGTTTTGTTCTGGGCGACGCTTATAAATGCATCAAAGCCGCGTTCATGCAGCTCATCTTCCTAAACGGCCTGCAGGAGAAGACGATGTCCAACTCAGACAGGAAGGTGAGTTTTTCTCTCCCTGAAACCAAATTCAGGATTTAGCCTGAGAGCGAATGAGATCAACGGTTCCGCTGATGGTTTGGTGACTGAAGGTTTGAGCTGTGACTAACCTCGTCTTCCTCCAGATGTTGTCCAGCGTTCTGGGACTCTTCGTCCTGATCTGCGGCTGTTCCGCCATGTTGGTCCCTAACATGACCAGGAACCTGATCCCAAAAGGACAACCAGAAGAAGAGGAAGGCTCGTCGTACGACCCCAACACCTTACGCTGGCCTGAAAACGGGCAGGGCCAATCTTTGGTTCCGGACCCTCAGTGGCCGTCGGAAACCCGCAGCGGGCCCCTGTGGCCCCCCAGCGGGAACATGACCAACTACGCTAACGGGTTGCGGATGCTGGCCACCAGCTCGCCTCTGGTTCCAGAACCAGACACTTCCATCTGTGACATCCTGTTCAGCCAGCCGGTGCCGCCGTCCATCGACCAGATCCCCTTCTTCTGCATCTGCTCCTACTGCAAAGGAACCGTGGGGCCCAAAGGAGACCGAGGGGACCGGGGGCCTCCAGGTGGGATGACACAAACATTCTAATGTTTGATTTTATATCAACATCCTTCAGCTCTTAAAGGCTTTAACTGGAAGCTGAGATCAGTTTTGTCTGAACCTCAAAGCGCTCGGCCTTCTGGTCCACTAATGCCAGTTGATGCACATTTTACACAGACCAGTGATTGGACTGGAAGTGCTTTGCTGTTATGCCAAATTCGGCCAAATTTGTCCAGTTTGCTCTCCTACCAGAGGAGAGTCTAGCTGACAAAAAGACTAACAAGTTATTTGGTAAAAAGGCAGAAGGGGGACAGTTTAATCTGATTTAGTTTGTGAAAATGGTTTTATTATACAGACAAAACATAAAAGCATGATGATATAAAACATGAGTAAAAATTAATTATCATTCAAAATAACCAATTCAGACAGAAGAAACGCACACTTCATGTTTCCGAAGCATTAAACCTTTGAAACCAAACTCACAGTCAGTAAAACAAAGATCTTCCATCATTTACTGCAGATTCAGTCGAACTCCAAGAGGCTCAGCAGAAACAAATTAAAACCGAGTAGAAAACGTCTCAGACTCACCGGTCTGGTGCATTTTGGGTTTTAGTTCGTCATTCGGTGAAGTAACTGCAGGTCAGTCAGATTTCCACAGTAAGAGAAACAAAACTTCATAATGTAATGAAGTAAAGTTAAATACATGAAACTTTCCCTAAAAGTCCAAAGGTTCCTCAGGAAACTGTAACTCCTCACTCTAACTGGGACTAAATTCTTCATTCTTTGATCTCTGGTGTTTTCTGTACATATTTAACTGTTTTTGCATTTTATCCCTAAAACAGAAAGGAAACAGTTTGAGGGATAAAGTTCAGATTCAGAGCCGGATTGTTGCTCAAGTCTCGCAGTTTTATGCATGAAGTCATTTCAGCACTTTGAGTCCTTCTTAAAGGCCTTCAACAGAAGTTGATCAATATTGATCAGTTCAGATGTTATTTCCTTTGATCAGGTGAACCTGGAAGTCCTGGAATGAGAGGGATGATGGGATTCAAAGGCTACCGAGGATTCACCGGCCCCCAGGGCATAAAGGGTGAGTCACACACCAACCTTTCTGACTGCACATGTAAAACTGAAATATAAGAGCAGAGTCTGCAGTCAGGAGCTTCTTCATCAGCAGTTTCCTTCATTCCCACTTCAGGTCAGAAAGGAGATTCAGGAGAGAAAGGTCAGAGCGGTCCAGCTGGATTCACCGGAACGAAGGGCGATCGAGGATTCAAAGGTCTGAGATCAGAACAGACTGAAGATCGACTCAGAAAAAGGTTTTTAATGTTTTTTCCATGATCAATGCTTGATTTGTGTTTCTGCAGGGGAGAAAGGAGACCAGGGCCTGAGCGGACCTCCAGGTGCTCAGGGTCCCCAGGGAGAGATGGGCACCTGCCCCGCCTCCTGTGAGAGTGCCCCAGGGGCACCGGGTCTGCCGGGGCCCCCAGGGCCAGCCGGGGCCCGGGGCCTGCCCGGGGTGCAGGGCATTGTGGGAGCTACGGGTGTGAAGGGCGATAAGGGAGACACAGGAGTGGCTGGGCAGCCCGGTGCGAACGGTCAGAAGGGAGATCAGGGTGAGCAGGGGATCTGTGAGTGCACCGACGGGGCGGACGGCGCCAACGGGGCGCCAGGGGAAAAGGGCAGCAAAGGAGACAAAGGTGACTCTGGTGCACAAGGCATTCAGGGCCCCATAGGTTTGAAGGGAGCTCAGGGTAACATGGGTCTCATGGGTCCCCCTGGGCCCTGCTCCCCGGCCATCCAATCAGCTTTCTCCGCATGCATCAACCAGTCGTTCCCCGCTGCCAACTGGCCGGTTCCGTTCCCTGACATCCTGACCAACGAGCAGAGGCACTTCGACCCGAACATGGGCATGTACACGGCGCCCGTCAACGGCACCTACGTTTTCTCCTTCCACCTGGCGACCAATCAGAAGCCGCTGAAGGTCGGCCTGTTCCGAAACTTCTACCCGGTAGCCAGGGTAACGGAGGCGTCGAGCCTGGCCACCGCCAGCCACACGGTCGTCCTGCACCTGAGCAGCAGAGACCAGGTGTGGCTGCAGGTGAAGGACTCGCTAACCAACGGCATGTTCACCGACAGCGAAAGCAAAAGCACGTTCTCCGGTTACCTGCTGTACCCCGACTCCTGCGACGCGCCGCTGGGCAGGTTCTTCCACCCTCTGCCGCCCACTGGTGGCTTCTCCTGGAACGGCCCTGATGGCCATACCACCACCTCGCTGCCTTAGGCTCCGCCCAGCGACAGGTGTTTAGACGCAGACAGCCAATCAAATTCAGTGCTGCACATTTCAAAGGAGGAGCGTTTGCAGAATGAGGCTGGTACCGACCGGGATCATCTGCAATAAATCACATTTAAAACACGACTTTATGGTCATTTCATCTCTCCTGCGACGGTGGACAGTGTGGATAGTTCTAATACTATCCACACTGATTTATCAACAAATTAAGCAAAAAAATTGCAAGATATCATATTGATGTTTTGAATAAAGAACCAATATCTTAACATGTACGGCTGATATTTTGGTTTTAGCAGCTGATCAGGCGTGTTCATAGTTTGGTTTCTTTAGGAAGCTGGAGTATGATTAAATATGAGCTGTACTGAGTCACAGACAGATGAAGAGTAAACATGTTTGAATGAAAGTCTAAATAATCTGACTGTAAACCAGTTTGTGTCCTTTTGATAAGTGATAATCCAAGAAGTTTCTGAATCTCCATGGAGATGAAGAAACGATTAAAACAAATTCTCCTCCTTTGAAACGTCCAGAAAAACTCACTTCTGATTCAACACTGACCTCTGACCTCTCACAGTCAGCTGTAGAAGTTCAGCTTTGCTCCAACATGAAATATTTCCAAAGCACTTTGCAACTGTAGAGTTGATTTGCTTTTAATTATGAAAATCTGCTTATTTTCTTAGGAATATTATCAGTTTGCCTTTTAAAATGATGCATGAATAAAAGCAGAGCAGTGGCTTCCACGTTGTTTTTCAGACAATAACTAAGGTGTGTCTTGTAAATTTGTGTTATGACTGTTTTTATGGATAGATTTATGTCATTTTGAATAAATCTCCAGTTTTGGAAAGGCGACCGTCTCATTTTACACTCCGTGTTCGGAGACAAACACCAAACTGGTTGGAAAACTGGAGATTTTTTCCATCTGACTCAAACTCACTGATCAGCAGTTTGAGACTCTTGTTGTTGCAGTGATTCATGACAGTTTCCAGGTGAATGCATCTGAGTGATGACAGTCAGAGCAATGTTTGGATAACTGAAGTAAAAGAGTCAAATACAAAATGCTGCAGTTCTGTGTCTTTATTCAAGCGAAGCTCACAGCTCCTCGTTGGTCCCAAACTGTTTGCTGCTCCTGGCTCCAGAGACCCTAGGAATGTTTTTCAGGTTGTGAGTCCGACACGTTTCTAAGATCAACCGCCTCAAAAATAAAACATCCTTCCATAAAAAGCAGCTGGATATTTGTTCCAGAGGTGTGTTTATAATCCAAGAGTCCAGAAACTGACGAGGCAAACGGGTTAGCTTACAGCTAATATCAGAAAATACATCAGACCGCCTTCAAGAACTTTATTAATCATTTAAACACCAGATGTGCCTAATTGGAACCATTTTAGTGCTAGCAGAGAAGCTAACATCCTTATGTCCTGTTAAAGTTTCAAAACCTGATTAAGGAGTCGTCAGTTGTTAGTCCGGTCCGGTCCGGTCCAACCCGGTCCGGTTGTGTTTATCTAAACCTGCCACAGTAGAAAACTATTACAGACATCTGGACTCATGAATTGTAATTTTTCTACTTTTACATCTTGTTTTGGAGGTTCAGCCAATCAGCAGCAAGTAAAATAAATGGAGCTTCTGGATTGGCTGGTGTGCAATCATCAGCCAATGGGCTCTTTGTACGTCAGCTTCTGCGTTCGGGGAAAGTCAATGTAATAATTAATGATGACCATCGATCCAAAGCCCAACAAGCTGGAGAAAGGTTTTAAGATGTATGTTAAACATCCACAGATACGAAGGTGAGTTTTATTTTCTTTAAACTTTGTGGCTAACATTAGCTTTAGCTTATGCTAGTAGGCAATATTCTCGGACATTTTTCTTATAAAAATGTGCTATTTAAGTATCTAAACATTCTAATCCATTCTAGCGGACAATGTTTTTACCTTAATTTATTGTTAGGCCAAGTATCGGGGAGGTTCCGGTTCGGGCTTTTTGCTAACGGACCATGAAGAAGCTCAACAAGCCTCGTAGCTTAACAGCAGANCAGCTCTGGAGTCAGAGATCTGGTTCAGCTATTCAGGGTCAGTGTTGTTGCTTTTAGACCGTGTTCCTTCAGGCCTCCGTGTTATCTAGTTTTCCATGTTCAGAGCTCAGATTGTTTACTGCAGGGTGTTCAGGCGGATCAGCTGTCTGGCTCTGGTTCCCATAAACTCTTTCAGGCTGAATACAGAAGTGATTCTTGGAAATAACTCAGGAGGCTCCTTTAGTCACCATCCGTCTGCCCGGTAGTTTTAGGCTGAAGAAGCTGATCCGGAGTGAAGTGAAGGCTGCAAACTTTAACTGGTAGCGACGGATACAAGCCGCCGACTGCTTGATTCAGGATCGCTTGGAAATTAATGAAAACTTAAAAGTCCCTTATTAGGAAGACAACAATGTTCATGCATCTGAAATACGCCTTTCATTCCAGGTAATCACATTACCTGCAATGGAAAGCTGCAGCTTACCTCCGCATTCAGGGAAGCTGGTTCTGATCAGTTTTGGTCCTGCAAATCAGTTTTTGAGGAATCAGAACTGATTTTTAACCTTGAACTTCAGATTCCAACCAGCTTGTTGCATCAAAACATCCGCAGGTCACATGACCACCACAGCT